TGTCACTCGTGAGTCGTGCATCGAGGTGCGGAGCTATATTTTGTATAACATATTAGTATTAAGGCCTTGATTGAGCAGATTGGTGTCTATTGTTTCGCACGGCAATCGTCCAGAGACGTGGGAACTGGGGGTTATGAGTAGTGCCGCAGCCAACGCTCTAATTAAAGCGATTATTATATGGTCGCAGCCTCCAATAGCAAACCGTTCCAACTAGGAGCCAAAAACTCGGCCACTCAGGGGGGTTCGAACCGGGCTTCTCCCACCGGCCAACTCACGACACGAGCGTTCATCCACTGAGCTACCGAGAATGGTCCTAGTCCGCACAAAACAAAATGACATTCACCCGCTGACCGCCAATGACAGCATTGTGACATTTAATCGCGTTTGACCGCGGCGGGTGGCTGCTGGTTTCGACAGCTCAGTGGATACACGCTAGCGTCGTGCGGTGACCGGTTGGAGAAACCCGGTTCGAACCGTCCCAGGTGCGCGACTTATTTGTTCCTAGATGGAACGGTTTGCTATTGGTGGCTGCGACCACACATTAGAGGAACAGGAAGAGTTGCTTAAAGTTGGGACGCCGCGCTATCCAAAAACACCAGTTCCCACGTCTCTGGACGGTTGCTGTGCGAAATAATAGACACCAATGAGCTCAATCAAGGCCTTAATACTTATCTGTTAAAAACAATGTAGCTCTGCAACTCGATGCACGTGTGATATAAATTCTATCGGCTGTCCCAATGCCACGTTTAAGTGTGTCGTAATGTGCATGGCAAGTATGATGATAGGCGCTGTCTTGGGGATAGGACATTTTAACAACTGCTTTAGCACAATTGTTAGGTAGAATAATTGGCGCCTTGAGACGCGAAAGTTAACTACACTCGCTCAGCCGCGCGATATGGTCCGTGCTCCCACCCCACCTCACTCCCCAGCCCTCACCAGCCGCCGCGCCGCGCCGACCCGAGCCATGCCTCCGGGCTCGGCCCTCACCGCTGCGCTGACGTCACAGGCGGCCCACATCGCCTTCCAGCCACCGACCCAGACCGGTGTCATACGGTGTGGGTAGGCTGTGCCGCTTGACAAGTAAGTGAAGCGGCACAGTCTACCGGTACCAGGCGGCTGCTGCCAATGCTGAGCCATAGGAAGCCGGTGGATAAAGAGTTGTGGAACATCAATCTGCCCCCGAGTGTATAGTCGGTCAAATATGTATCTTTCCCGGCCGGCCCTCCCCAAGCTGGGCAGGTCGGTAACTTGGCTGAATCCGCCGGCCGCTGCGAGTACTACGGAGGGGAGGGGACAGGTTGTGCGGTTGCCGCGTCGGCCAATGAGCGCGGACCTGGCGAGCGGGCTGGGGCCACGGCGTGTTGACCTAATATGGTCAAAGGTTCATGCCCTGCGGGTATGGTCTGCGGCCAGCTGGCCCACTGACTGAGCCACAGCACCGGGTCGCGGAAAGGTTTCGATAGGTATCTGAATTGGAGAGTGGAGACCGTTAGCTTGAACTTGAGTGTAGTCGCTCTAGGTTTGAGATGCCGTATCACTGCACCGTTTTTGAAAAGGGGAGAATTATTCAGTTGAGTGATGAGGGTAGAACGGTTGCAGAAATCTTTAGGAGGGTTGGTTTAGGAGGTTGTTTTAGGAGGGGGCGGTTTTACGCCCCCCCCCCCGTCTAACTCGACTCCTGAGCGTCGTAGAGACAAGCGGTAGGCGGCGTTCGAAAGAGCGATAAAAAACGTTTTTACTTCTGATACTTTTTCTTAAATAGCTTTTGATCCAGACAAGATAAAGGATCGATTCGAACGTCATCGTTCTTAGCTTGTCAAAGCGCATCGAAAGCTATATCATGTGACCTCAAAAGGTCAAGTTGAAAATTTGACCTAAGGTCAAGGTCATGACCTGACTGAAATAGGTCATGTTGCATATCATTCGATCCGCATTGATCAGACAAACATGATAAACGTCGAACGGAGTCTCTATTTCTATTCACTCAAAAGTTATTGCAGAAAACCCCCGCTGGTGACCTCAGGTGACCTCGGATGACCTAGCGACACCTTCCAAAGGTCACCGGTGACATCTTTCGGTAGAATGACCACCAGGGACCTGCAACACCATGATCCTGAGTATATTGTGTGGATCGGGTGGCATTCAGATGAAGTTGAAATTTATCCCATTGACTTATAATGGGGAGGTTGTGAGATTGATCTGACCTCAGGTCATAGATAAAAAATCCGAGACATACATTTTGTGGATATTGTCACCCTTACTAACTCCTGAAAGTTTCATATCGATCGGTCAACAGTTGTAGCTTTGGTGCAAGTTCAAACTTTTTGTGACGTTAGGTCACTCAAACCGACCTGTTGACCTGACCTTAAGTCATATAAGGTCAAAATTCGCACACAGTATGCGCAATAGATGGAAAAACAGGTATGCAAAATTTGGTGGCGCTGCACGCCGCCGTTTTTCGGCTATCTGCGAAAAACCTGGGGGGGGCGCAAATCGCCCCCCCCCCCCGGCCCGGCGCAGGTTAAGATTTTCAGTAGATATGGCTTAACGCTTTCCCGTTAATGCCAAAAAAAAAATGAAAAAAGTTTTTGCTTTATCAAAAAATAACCGGTCATAATTCGATTAAATATTTCTCTTGCGCTAATCATCATATCACCAAGCATTCAATCGTATCAAGAGCAACCATCTTAATTTTTAGGTCAGCGACCCCTGTTGAAACACCAGATAATCCTTTGATAGCTCATAGCACTCAGTCTACAATTTACACGGCGCATGAAAGCACAGCCATCATTAGACCATCGCGCTGCCCTCACATTCGTTAGATTCCTAACGCATCCGCTTGCTCGCCTCTCCCGGCCAGACCCGCCGGAGCACCCGGCGGCGAGGCCGTCCAGTGCTGGTCTGCGGTCACTCTCCAGCCGGCCGCTGTGTAGCTCCGCCCCCCGCGCGTGACGTCACAGGGCCGCCAGAGCCGCCAGGGCAGCTGGGGTGTGGGCTCAGCCAACTATCGAATCCAGACCGTAGCGCCACTTGGCGGCCGGGAAAGATACATATTTGACCGACTATACCTACCTGCTTTCCTGCTGTCTTCATAAAGCATACCTAATGAAGTTGTCAAATTTATAGCACATTTTCAACACTTTCATATCAATATGGTGTCAGTGTGGCATGTAACCTAGCTAGGTTCATTATGTTCAGGGTTCAATTCAGAAGAGCTCCGCATAACTCACATAAGAGACAGACGGGGGCTTTACATGGGGTAGATGGCCTGATGACTTAGCTGGAATATGGCCAAAATTAAATTGACAACTTTTAGGTAAAAGGTGGTGATTTGGGTTAAGGGGCGTTTGTTGAAGTCAACTACTGGGTTATTTTGCACCCATTAAATGAAACTTCTGCTCCAATTCTACCCATTGAACCTCAATATCATGATCCACCTGTCCATCATTAGGTATCCTTCCTTATTACATAGAAACTTTGAATGGCATGGCAATTTATAATTTTAAATGACAATATTTTTGTTTCTTCTGTAGGTAGGTAGGTAGGTAGGTACACCAGACTGCTATGGACACTTTTCCAAGTTGGTGGGGCAAAAAACCTAATGTATATCTTGGTTTGAGTCGTTTGATTGAGTTGATTGATTCCTTTCATTGTCGCGTTTGAGTCGATTGAATCAATTCCCGAAAACTGCTCTGACTTGATTGATTTGATTGGTTTCCCAAATTTGTCGTGATTGAATTGATTGCTATTGATTGAGTCGTATACAACCCTGTTAACAAGTGGACCAAATCCGAGAAGTTTTCCTTTTTTGGAGGGGATACGACACTAGGCCGTGACCTGTGGCCCCTCCCTGAGCAAAATCCTGGCTACGTGCCTTAATTAAAACAGCGGTACGTACGCATTCGTCACACAACCTTGACCTTCACACAATCTTGTCTTACATCAATACATGGACTGCAATCTGATATATAGGGTATTCGAAGAAGTGCAAAATTTGAGGTCAATTTTAAACATGACATTGAATCTGTCCTTGGCCTTGACTACAGTTGGCACGAGAAAGTAAAACGCGTAATTCTTCGGAGTGACAAGTTTGTAGGATGCTTAAGTCGAGTACGAAATGACTACCATTTTCATTATTGCCAACACCCTTTTGGCGGCTGTCTGAGTTATGGGGAGGCAAACAGGCGTATTTACCTCACTTTTCTTGTGATTGAGGAGGCAGGCTGATGTGACAATGCCGTTTGGCGGACGACAGAGGCTGTCCTGTTAGGAGGCCATCCTGTTAGGCCATGCGCTGTGGGGGTGGGGCGGCTGAAGAAGTGAAGACAGAGCTGGCTGTGCTGTGGGGGTGGGTGGGGGGGGGGGGGGGCGGCGACAGGCGGGGCTAACGGTGCAGTGGGGAGGCGGCAGGCGGAGCCGATCGTTGTGTCATTTGTTTCGCGCGGCTGATCATTGGCCATTGCCGGAGGCGTCGTTAGCTCGCCCCTCGCCGATGATGTCTGCTGATGAACCGTGACGGCACGCGCGGCCCTGCTGCGGGCCGCCGCGCCGCCACCTATCACTATGCCCGGACTGGTCCGCTGCGTCTCTGCACCGCGCCAATGGAGACATCCTCTGCGGCAGCCACAGGTGGAGCCGCAGAGTCGGACGCCGCCGGCACCGCCCCGGGCGCCACAGGTGCTGAGGCGACCGGGGGGTCGATCGTCAACGAGCAGAGGCAAAATCACAGCCGTGTCGGCTGCCACACAAAGAAACGTGGGAACGGGGTGAGCAGTGTGCATATATGATCGTTTCAGGTCGGCTTACCGGGGAGAGGGCAGGCCGACTAAATCATCCTGACTGATGCATCAATTAGTTGCCTCAATAATGGCCTGCGTTCTTGTCGCGATGGGAACAACACAGGCCGTTGACGCGTTCAGGTCAGAAAGAAACAGTCTCGGCTGTCCCATCTCCATAATGCGCCCATTCATGACTAGCCTTAGGTTGATGGATGTTTGACGTACACCGATTCCGTTTATTAATAAACAATAAACACCAGCAGATACACGTAACACTGAAACAATTACCAACTATCCACAGGCATTACACACTGGGCCCCGCTGAACAACAAACCTAGACTGGACGCCTCCAGGGCCACCTCGGCCTAAAAGCCACGCGGCAGCCTAAAAGCCCCCGCAGGAGTTTAGCTTTCGGCAGTATCAGAAGCGCCACGGGAGATACACACAGACTCTCTAACAGTCGGCGCGCCGCTGAGGGCAGTGAAGCTGCGAACAACAAACAAAGGCAGTGGTGCACCGCGCACGGCTGAAAGTCAATGCACCTGCAAACGTCATCGATATTGCATAGTCTATTCACTGATATTGCACAGTCTGAACTATGATGCCATCGAGAGGCGAGAACAGGAATTACGTAAATGACGCGCAATGTCAACAATGCCAACCTTGTCATTCATTCGATCCGAGAGTCATCAGGAGCGGCGGGGGCCGCCAGCTGCCAGTGTACTTGTGTCTCATAGGCAATCAGGCTCGCTGGCTGGCCTGCGGTGCTCAGACGCTGGCGGCGGCGCGCGGCGAGGCCCGGCCTGCCGTCGCCGCCGACGGCCGCGCCGCGCGAGACACCACCGAGGCGCCGACGGGCGGCGGGCCGCGGCGCCGGCCGCCGCCGCACAGAATCTGCCGAAACGCCTGCTTGAACTCGAGCGAAGTGCACACGTAGATGAAGGGATTGAGGCAGCTGTTGCAGTAGCCGAGCCAGAAGAAGAAGGCGAACAGCGGCTCGGGAACGTGGCAGACGGAGCACAGCGCCCCTGAAACGGTCAGCGACGGTCCGTCAGAAGGCGTCGGTACACGGCGGAACAGTGGCCAGAGGACGGGGGGGAGGGGGGGGGGACGGCAATAGTGCTGTGTCGGAGAGCCGCTTTTACTCAGAAGTGCAAAAGTAAATGCATGAGTCTCCTTCTTCAAATGACCGGCATCGGCCACTGGTTCCGTGGAACTATCGCAATTGAGTCTTTAACGCATGCTTGCTTTTTGCCAACGTCTGCAGAAGATGCAGCAGGCTAGCTTAGCACTATGCCTTCTGAAAGTGTCCATTTGCAAATTTGCGTCAAAGAATGCACCCACCCAGCCCATGACAGCTCCTTTAGACCGTCATTAGCGCTGTCGAAGGCCGAGCTCCGGTCGATGGCCATTATCGACGCGAACAGGGCGCCGTCAATCCTGTCAAGTTCCCACGACAGAGGCTAGCGTCGATCACGGTGTGCTCTGTTATCCGCGGCGACCACGCCTGGCACCGCAGGTAAATGGCTCGCCGCCGAGCATATTGGCTCAGCCGGGCGCGGGCAGCACACCCAGCGATTTGCTCATGACAGGCGGTGAGGAAATATGGCGGCGGCTGCTGGCTGCGCTACCGACGCCAGTCGCTGTTGTATGTAGAGACCATGGAGGCTATTTTCTGGCGTTCAGGAAACGCGCCGATAGCGATCGATACGCCAGATGAAGCGGTAATGGTCTTAATATGGCTGCACTGGCACCACGGCAGGCTACAGCTAGGATCTCTCTCTCTCTCTCTCTCTCTCTCTCTCTCTCTCTCTCTCTCTCTCTCTCTCTCTCTCTCTCTCTCTCTCTCTCTCCCTCTCCCTCTTCTGCTCCCTGCTCCCCCCTCCATGGTTGGCCGTCGTCGGCTGTCGTTCCGTTTCCGTCTCGCGCCGCCGCCGCTCGGTCTACGTCACTCGTCGCTCTGGACCTGTCACCGGCAGCGGTGGCCGGCCAAGCCGCGCCGCTGCGGCCCCGGCACCCGCGAGCACGGTACACCAGACACCAACGAGCCCGGCCCCGGCACAGAGAGGAAGGCCCACCACAGACCGCCGCGGCACCACAGACAGAGGGAGCCAACTAGCACCGCTGGCGGCCGCAAAACTGCCTATCGCCAGTCACCACGAGTCACGAAAAGGGTAAAGAGACAATCCATACTGTTAAAAAAAAAAAATATTTGTGTTAGCGACAGAGGTGCCGCCCCCTTGTAGCGGAGAACGGTCCGGACTGGAATAGCAGGTATTCGCAGCGGTATCGAAGGCTGAAGGCTGAATTATCTTTGGGCGCGGTAGATTGGGTATGGGGAGGTCAAGTGACATGTCAACTGGCCGCGTATGCCGCGATTTTCTTTTCTCAACGTTCCAGTCAGAGGTTCAGCGACGGACGTTTTATAAAAGGTATGACGTAGTTACCGAAGCGCAAATCTTATTCGGACTGGGGCGCTTCAAATTGTTACTGGCTACTTCCAACATTTCACTCATAATTGGTCTTTCATTCGTATTAAATTCACGCAGTTTTGTGAAAGGCGGGTACGTTATGAACATTGCACTTAGCGTGCTGAGCACTTGGCATGTGTATTGTGTAGCAGCCCAAACGAGACTTTTCTAGCTTTTCGTTTGTTCTGGTTGCTTTATTTAGTAAAGGAGCTGGTTTGAAGTACCTATTGCCTGACACCTATCGCAAGGCCTTAGTGTTAATTAAATCCAAAAGATTCGTAGGAACATTCTTTCCTAACGGGTCGGGTCGGCCCAGAAATAGCTCCCGAAATAATAGAACTGGCTGAATTTCCCAAGCGGAAATATAAAGTGGCACGAGCCATTTTCTGGTTCATTGTGACACATCAGCATAGATGAGACAATTCAGTGCGCTGTAAATATCTCACCGTCTGGGCCTCCAATGAGCAGCGATAAATTCTGGAAATCAAGCAATGAATATCGCACAAAGGGGCTTCCAGCCCGCGCGATTTTATGTGGCCTTGGTAACAACATAATATTAAAATACCACAAACCTTGTCCTCAGAACAAGGTTTGAAACGTTTTTTAGCATGATTATGATTACGATAAGAATGGAAAATACCCTTATGGAAAAATAATCCAAAGTAGTTTCTGGCCTCCTTTGATTATTATCAAAAAGTAATTATTCCTTCTTATTACGGGACCTCATGTTGAAAATAGATAGCTGGCGTATACCTCAGTTAACCCTCGTAACGCCGTTGACATCCTCTACTCCACAACTCCGTATCGGCTGTCTCTGTCTCTGTCTCTGTCTCTGTCTCTGTCTCTGTCTCTGTCTCTGTCTCTGTCTCTGTCTCTGTCTCTGTCTCTGTCTCTGTCTCTGTCTCTGTCTCTCTGTCTCTCTCTCTCTCTCTCTCTCTCTCTCTCTCTCTCTCTCTCTCTCTCTCTCTCTCTCTCTCTCTCTCTCTCTCTCTCTCTCTCTCTCTCTCTCCTCATGCTCTCCTCGCTCTGGCCGCCCGCCGGTGATGTCCCGGTCCCTCCAGCAAGGTCAGGTCGGGCCACCGCTCGCCAGTGCCGGCCGGCGTGGTTCTGGAGGTCAACCGCGGCTATGTGTTTGAACAAGGATGCGGCGTTACCGTTAACTGGCATTCATTGACTGGTTATGCGACATTTCTCAAACGAATTGTTGGTGAACCAGAATTTATCCAGAAGCGAAAAATCGGTGCCGATTTTTCGCTGCCTTACAGGCACCACTATTCCACTCTATTCGGACAGCAGAAATGCGCTTCATTCAACCTGCGAATTTTCATAATTCCGACTGCATGCAAGTACCAACTCCCTCGCCATCATGTCAGATGGTTGCAGAACACTGACACCAGTATAAAACGTGCAGCAATGTTAGCTTCTGTCATGGCAACAGCCATTGATGTAAAAACAACATTTGGGGTATAATCGTATGTTGCTAAGGGCGACTGCCGCCCCACAGCAGACTGAGATCTTTGACCCCGCGCGTTGTATGAATGTATGGATCATGGTGTACCCAGCCTCCATGGTAGAACGATAGCCGTGATGTGGCCTTTCAAAACCCCCACAGGAACTCCTATAATACAGCGGGGCACGAGTTGACCTCAATGGACGGAGATTCCCTCACCGATCTAAAAACGCCTACACTTTTCAAAGGCCTTCGTGGTATCAGGGGTGATTGTGTGAAATTATGGATACACTGAGAAAACAGTGTCCCGATTTTCGGGCTCAGAGACCAGTTTTCGGGCTAATGTACCATATTCAAAACAGACAGCACATTTCGAGAATACTTTCTGAGCAACGCCACATGGGCTCATACGATCCCTTAAATCGGTATCATTGATCGCAGAAACAGAGCTCAGTCAGTACCCATTATCGGTGTCAAGCTCTAAAACTAGTCTCACTATGATACCAGTTTTCAGCCTGATCCCCATTTTCGAGCTCACCTGATTCCAGTTTGAGGGCTCAAATTGTGTGGTGAAGCCAATATTAGGGCTCACGTCATCGCTTTTCGGGGCTTTGGTAAAAGCTGGATTGCGTCAGCTGGCTGGCCAGCTGGCGACGCACGAAAGGTATTTAATTTTAGATATACCTAAGCGCGGTAGTAGGATGGACATAAATATTTCAAATGGCTTTAAATGAAAAATTGATTGGTAAATATTTATTCTTTTATATCTAGCATTGATATGTAAGAAGCTCTGCTAGCGCCACCATACGGCGCCAGCTGGCAAAAAAATCCAGTTAATACCAGAGCCCGCTTTTCGTCCGATGCAGCCCCTCCTCCCCCCTCCCCCGTGTCCAGCAGCTGCGAATAAGACGAAGCCGCGGACAAACTTTTTTTTTGCTCGGCCAGCCTAGCGCCAGTCTCGAGCGGTGGGACAGTTAACCCGGCAATTTTGGCCGGGATGCAAAAGTTACGTTAAACCGGTTTATGTTAACCCGGGAGCAAATAACAACGTGGGAGCCTATCTTAGGTGTGGCAAAGCTAACGGATTACTTACTTGTTGCCGAGGTGCCCAAAGAAGGTACTGGAACCGAAAACACAACATTGGTTCATGTATTTATTAACATTCATACACACAGTCATACTTGTGCAAGGTGTCAGTGTTCGGTTGTGGGGTGTAATAGCCAGGGAAAAAGTTCTATGAACTGAAAAACCCGGCGCCTATTACTTCGCAACATGGTTGTGTATTCAACATGAACTGCAAGGAGTGCAGACGACATTGCCTGTGCTAACTTAACGTCTCACGGGCAGCGCCGCGCTCTGACACCTTGGTCCCAGAAGCGGCGGCGTTTCTGACCGCAAATCGCCGGAGAGCCGGTCGACGCCGTTGAGGGGACTGAGCAGGCCGCTGCCAGCTCCACCTTCACGTCCGCGCGGCGCAGCTCGGTGTGCGGCGGCGGCTCATCGCGCGGGCCGCACCCGTCCGTCCGCTGCACGAGCCGCTTTTCGATCCGACAGCGCAACACCGGCACGCCATTGTGCTGGCTGAGCGGCGGCAGCGGCACGTAGGCAACAAAACAGTAGAAATCGATGGGCCTGGATCGGCGTTGCCAGCAACGCCGGCAGCGGCGCGGCAGGAGGCGCCAGTGCCGCCGTCGGGGACGTGTGCCCTTCGCTGCGCTCATTCGAGTTGGCCGGCCGGCCGCGCGGCGTAGTCCTTTTGACACGGTGCGAGAAGAGCCGGATGAAGGTGGACTTTTTATTGGCGTTGCTGGTGCTCACGCCGCCGGCGTCCAGTTTGGGCGGCAAGTCCGAGTACCAGGAGTCGGACAAGTCCCGCGCGAACGCCGCCAGCCGGTCGTCGTCACTGCTGGCGGCGGCCCGCCGACGGCGCTGCCTCAGAATCGGACGAGTCGGTGGTACTGAGCACCTCGCGGGACGGGTAGCTGGGAGTGGGCCGGCCGCGGCCCCTGCCAGGCCGCGCCACCTTCACCGGCGCAGCCGCCTTCAAACTGCCCTTGCTGGGCGGCGGGTTGGTCGGCGGAGGCGGCAGCGGTGCCTCGACGTCAGT